TTATATTAAAAAAAATTCGTGCATGCCCTTAAAGACAAAGGTATCTGAAAATTTGATCGAAATTGCCGCATTAGAAGCTGGTCAAAAGTGAATTTCGAAATTTGCCTCAAACGCTCAAACTGACCTTGTGAATTAAGTAAAAGCTTGTAAAAACACAATAAGACATCACCGTTACAAAAACAAAGACAAAATTATCCAGACAGTACTCACATCAACGTTGTCTGGGTACGCGTGTATGGTCATGCGCAGTTCCTCGTCTGTCATGTTGTCCACGTTCAGATCTGCCAGGTTGTAGGCGTGGGCGACCTACCGGAAGTTTTGTAGCGGCCCTGGCAACAAGTTCAATGGCGTCATTTTTAAAAATTTTATTTGGTTGTAGTAGTTGCTAGAATCTTCTTTCGCCAAGAAAAGCACAAGATTTTAAACAATCGTCAAATATCATTATAATACTTGACACAAGAAAATTTAAAATTATTCATGTTTGCATACGCTATTTTTAGAAGTACTAGCCCACCCAATTTCCCGTTGGAAAACGGTCTGTCGGATGTACTGCACAACACAATCAACACCACACGGCTCCCACTCATATTTAGCCTTAAAACCCCATATGACTTCCTCTTCTGAGACCCAAGCCCCTGCCCAGTCCCTATAGGTAATCCATTCATGACGTCCTCCGGGTAGGGGTTGGGGGTGGGGGTCGGGGAGGGGAGTCGGGGATTCGCAAGGAAGCAGTCGACTTGCGTGGACGCTTGCTTACGGGGGGGGGGTGGATTTCATCTGAGTCTACGACTAATTCCCGAAAGACACTTGTCCGAATTCCGTTTGCCTGAAGGTCGTTTTCTGAATGGACACTTGCTCGAATGGGACAAATGCCCAAATGACACTTGCCTCATGATGATATTTACCTGTACCAAAGTCTTCACTTTGTACATGGTTGACTGGAGTCTTCACGCCACCATTAGTTTCTTCACGTGAGTCTGTAAGAGTTAAACATGACGAATTAATGAAATTACGCTTCACGTTAGTAATTTTAATATATAGGTTTGTAAATGCTTAGTAGTTTATGGTGTAGGCTTGACGTCAAATAATAGCTGAATTATTTCAAGCAAGGTGGGACAGAGTGGCCTGGTGGTAGAGAGCTGGACTGCTAACCCGTAAGTCTCGAGTTCGAATCCGGGTTCAGGTCAGTAGACCGTTGCTGAGTCCACCCGCACACGTTATGTTAACTAAAGGCGGCTGGGCATAGTGCTGACCACACTATCTCTTCATATGCCAAGGTCACAGAAACAAGTGAACCCTACTTCATAGACCGTCAGGTTTGAAAGGGAACTTTACTTCAAGCAAGCAGTCATCACTTGTTCTAGTATCTACCTCGTCCTGATTCATACACGTTTTGTTTTAAGCGAATCCACTGACCTACGACTTCAGAACTTTCCTTACCCTGACTGAAGTGCCAAACACTCCGAATCCTAGGGGTAAGTACCACAAAGACGCCGGCACAGAAGAATAGGACGCTGATTCGGATCCAATGCGAACGTGTCATACTTTTTGTATCACACACCGATCTATAATGAGATAGTAAAACATCGGCTAAACGTAAAATTGTAAAAAAAAAATATTTAAAAAAAATAAATAATTGGAAACAAATAATTGAATGGGTTGAGTACAGCAGTTCATTTTTATCATTTGTGTGAAACTTTTGTATGATCAATATTTTTTCTCTATAATTGAGTTGGTCTGGTTCGGCACGACGAACTAAAAATTGTGATGAATCTGAGACTTTTCAGAATATAGCATTCACTTTTTCTACCTCGCGACCACGTTAGTCTCTGGTCTGGTTTTGTACAGGACACTTAGGTGTTAAAAATATGGCTGTAAAATACGATGTTTATTAAAATAGTGATTTTTATTTAAAATAAGTAAAGGATGTATTGAGCGAGTGTAATAATAGAAAGGAATTCTTCTATCGAGGGGGGAATAAATTTTACTTATCTGTATCGAGAGATGTAGTTTTAATGTGATTTTCGTTCACTCTATTATCTATAAAACATCCTGCCCGTGGCCTAGTTCACTTGACAGGCGATTATCTACCTTATTAAAATATCCTGCATGTGACCTAGTTTACGATTACGTACTTTATTAAAACATCCTGCCAATGACCTAGTTCATGTGACAGGCGATTGCCTACATCCTTGAAGTAGTATAATATAAATTACATATTACTTACAATATTCCAAGTAGTTAATTGACTCAGACTCTTCTACAGGTAAACGGTTGCTCTATTATGCAAAAATTTACAATGGTTAGGTAGGCACGTTATTCTTTTTTGACCGTTGACAATCATTGCCCAAATGCCACATTGATCGAATATTATCATCTGTGTTGAGGTAGGTGGGAGGGGGGGGGGTTGAGGAAGCAACGAAACTAAACGACTTTAATATTAACATAGACCGATTTTTCCTCTAAATAATTACGTATCTGACAAATACTTGAGAAAAAATTAAAAACAAAATGGCGTCGTGTCTTGGTCGTAAACGTCTTCTTCCAAGACATTAATTAGGTGTTTAATTAACATTGTTATGAGTAAACAATTTGAGAGTTTGTATACAGATTTTACCTTTTAGGTTAGGAAGAATAGAACATTGTAGAGAAAGTTTGAGCAGTGAGTGTAGAGTTGCATTGGGTGGATTAGAGTAAAGTAAGGTAGAGTAGGCTGAATAGAGTAGAGTAGAGTAGAGTATGCTGAATAGAGTAGGGTAGGCTGAATAGAGTAGAGTAGGCTGAATAGAGTAGGCTGAATAGAGTAGAGTAGAGTAGAGTAGGCTGAATAGAGTAGGGTAGGCTGAATAGAGTAGAGTAGGCTGAATAGAGTAGAGTAGAGTAGAGTAGGCTGAAAAGAGTAGAGTAGGCTGAATAGAGTAGAGTAGGCTGAATAGAGTAGAGTAGGCTGAATAGAGTAGAGTAGGCTGAATAGGGTATAGTAGGCTGAATAGAGTAGAGTAGGCTGAATAGAGTAGAGTAGGCTGAATAGAGTAGAGTAGGCTGAATAGGGTAGAGTAGGCTGAATAGAGTAGAGTAGGCTGAATAGAGTAGAGTAGGCTGAATAGGGTATAGTAGGCTGAATAGAGTAGAGTAGGCTGACTAGAGTAGAGTAGGCTGAATAGAGTAGAGTAGGCTGAATAGAGTAGAGTAGGCTGAATAGAGTAGAGTAGGCTGAATAGGGTATAGTAGGCTGAATAGAGTAGAGTAGGCTGAATAGAGTAGAGTAGGCTGAATAGAGTAGAGTAGGCTGAATAGGGTATAGTAGGCTGAATAGAGTAGAGTAGGCTGAATAGAGTAGAGTAGGCTGAATAGAGCAGGGTAGGGTACTATTGTAGATTAGTGAAAAATAAGACTAAATAGGATATAATTGGGAATAGTAGGGTAAGGAAAATAGAGTAGAGTAGGACAGAGTTGGGTTGATTAGAGTAGAGTAGGTAGTGTAAAGTAAGGTAGGGTAGGGTTATCGTATAGTCGAGCAGAGAGCAGGGTGGGTTAGAGTGGTTAGGTTAGAACAAGTTAACAGTAAAGTCGACAGAGATAGAACATCTTGGAGGGAGTGTTGGCATTAAAGCAAGGAGCTACATGGCTTACATAAGTCCAATTGACGAATGCCAAAGATCTTTTCTATTTAGGGAATTGACGTTGTAGCCATTGCTTCCCGAAGGATAATTCAAGTCAGGTAAATACCTTAGTGGTATTTAGATAACAGTATAGGCAACCGTTTAAATAGAACTAGCGTAGTTACTTGTATTTGGGTAACAAGAACAAAATCTATTTAAGTAGAACAAAATTTTGTCTATGATAAAACTAGCTGTTTATAAATGACTTCACGCAATTTTAGCCAATATAATATTGTATTATCGAATTTTCAACTCACAAAAGGGGGAGGGGGGTAGAATTGTATCAATATATAACAAAGATCTGTTAACTTTTTCCTTTGTGACGTTTACTAACATACGTTGTCCTGTTTTGTAATGCAGGTAGAGACAGTTAGCTAATCATAGATTAATTTTACCTCAAACATTTACATTTAATATAATTCTTCAAAAATGTTATAATGACAATATCCTGGGAAAATATATTTCTAAACCTCACTTTTAAGGATTATTTATTGATAGCCACTAACTTTTGCGCATTTTATTACAGGCATATGTGTGTATATTATTTTAATAATGAATGATGTTGATAAAGTATGTTTAATTTCGTTCAGATAAATGTTTGAGTTGTCTGATCTATGCCATCTGACACGCTTAAATCATTCAGCCTAAAGAATGTTCATCATGTTGAAATTCTGCGTGTTACGGTTAGTTTATGTGTCGCGTTAGCATAGGTGTCACAGCAGGTAGCAGTGCTACTTTTGGTAGATGTGTCAGGGCCAAGGAGATGTGTAAGGGCCAAGGTGATGTGTCAAGGTCAAGGAAATGTGTCAGGGCCAAGAGATGTGTTAAGGTCAAGAAGTTTCCGCAAATATATCAAGTTAAACACATGTGTAAGCTAAACCGATGTTTAGTTGAAGCGATACACATTTTTTTTCAAAATATGACTAAAGGTGTAAGGAGACTATGTTTTTCTAAATCAATTGTCTTAATATTATACATTTTTCTAGAAGAAAGATTATCTTATGGCTCGAGATAGTATCGCTCTGGGAAAGATTATTTCACGGTCATAGATTATTTTCAGGGAATCTTATCTGATGTTCATAGATTATAAGTTACGTAAAGAGGTTATCGGCATAAATTATCATTGCACACTAACATGTAAATGATAATCTAATGTGATCAAGTAAATAAGTAAAGTAGGTTTCTGAATTATCCATATTAAGTGCTTGGGGGGTGGTCATCGAGTACCCCCCCTCCCCCCTAAATGACTAGAGCTCTTACTTCCGTCTCTAGTAACAGAATAATTCAGTATTCGATAACACACATATTGATGAAAAATGTATGACTGTAGGATGAGAAGTACAAGCAAGCTGTCGCATTTTTTTGCAACTTGGTCTCTAATTACTGCAGTACATTGCTACATCTTTGAGCATCAGGTTTGTTTGCGTGCGCTAGTTAATCATGAATTGGTCTTTTGTGCGTGATTTGTGTGTGTTCTGTCGTGTGGTGTGCTGAGGTGTGCTGAGGTGAGCTACGCGTTGTGTGCTGATGTATTTGATGAGTTTGTGTACTAAGGTGATACATTATCGACTGAGGTGAGTGGTGAATTCGTGTACTTAAGTGAGTGATGAATTTGTGTACTCATGAGAGTGATGAATTTGTGTACTCAGGTGAGTGATGAATTTGTGACGCAGGATAGTGATGAATTTGTGTACTCATGAGAGTGATGAATTTGTGTACTCATGAGAGTGATGAATTTGTGTACTCATGAGAATGATGAATTTGTGCACTCAGGTGAGTGATGAATTTGTGTACTCATGAGAGTGATGAATTTGTGTACTCAGGTGAGTGATTAATGTGTGTATTCATGAGAATGAAAAATTGTGATTACTAGGATGAGTGATGTGTTTGTGATGAGTTTGTGATGAGTTTGTGATGAGTTTGTGATGAGTTTGTGATGTGCACCTGTGTTTCATAAACAGTTCTGACCAGACTTCATGCTGTATAGGCCGATGACACGAGCTTTCCAGGCGTATCTGTTCGTTCTGGGCTGTTCTCTTAAACTATCCCCGTTAATTAAACTTCAATCTGTTTCGCAGGTTGGTTTAACAAAGCTACTATCATGAGCCTAAACAGACTTGTGCGTCTTCTGCTGCTAGTCGTCGGCACATCCTTGATTGTGTTCTTGGCTTTTCGTCTTCGTCCCCACGTCATCAAGTACGCGATGAGGCCCACCGGAAGTCGGTGTGACGTAAACAAGATGGATGCTGTGGCACATCCGATGAGCCCTTTACAACTGGAAGAAGATTTTGGCTCAGGTTGGCACTTTTAGTTTCTAGATTCAACATGGACCTCATTAATTCTTTAAAAAAAAATTCTACAAAAAATGTAATTTAATAATACAAGTGTTTAAAAAGTAAAGAATCCTCTTTAGGCCTACCATCCATTGGGCAGATAAGGTAGAGTTCATATGTTTCTTGAAGAGAAGTTTTGCAGAGTTTCTTTCATGCATCTCGAAAACATATACTTTTACTAGTGTCCGCTCCCCACCCCCGGAAAATGTTGTCCGCCCCCCCCCCCCCCCGGAGAAAAAAAGTCTGGAAGAAACACTGAAGGTTTGGTCAGCACTTTGCCCATCCGCCTCTACTTTAGGTACCGATTAGAGCTGGCTGGACTCAGGGACGTTTTACTTTCTTGAACCCGGATTCGAACTCTAGACTTTCTGGTTAGCAGCCTAGTTCTCTATTGTTTGGACACCCCTCTACGCAATAACGAACACTCTGTTCTTTCATTGGCCCTATATTCGAACTTGAGACTTTCGGGTTAGCAGTCTAGTTCTCTACCGTTTGGTCACCCTTTACGCAATGACGAACACACTGTTTTTTTTATTGGCCCTAGATTCGAACTCTAGACTTTCAGGTTAGCAGTCTAGTTCTCTACCGCTAGGTCACCCCTTTACGCAATGACGATCACACTATTCTTTCATATGTCGAGGTCACCGAAACAAGTGAACTCTACTTCACTTGCCACATAGATCATCAGGTTTGGAGCGGGAACTTTACTTGACTTTTACCATCTTTGCGCCATCGTTTCGACATCTTACCATCATTTCTAACTTTTCGGTTAAATAAAATTTACATTAAAGATTACGGGAATAGAACATTATGTTCTAAAATTTAGCCATATACAAACAACAATCCAATAAAAGAGTTTTTAAAAACTCCTCCTAACTTGTTTCATCTGAAACGACGTAATTAGAAAACAAAAAAACTAGTTATTAGTAAAAATCAATACATGTAACATTCGTTTCAAGATTAAATCAATGTGGCGGCCATTTTGTATTGTTCACTTTAATTAACGAGCCAATAAAATTCTTAGCGAAATGTCATCTACATCCGGCTCACAAACAGCTGTTATGAATCGTCTCTATGTGAACGGCCCTTAAGCTAATTTCACCACAAGCGTCACAAGTTGCGATCTACACGATTGATTGATTAATTTGTATACACTTGTTATGAACAGACTTGAATTTCAGGCTGCAATTGAATCTCTGTTTTACCAAAACATTTAGCAAAATATATAGAGAAAAACTTGAGGGGGGGGGGGGGGGTGCAAATCGAAAGTTTGAGGGGGGGTTGCAAATCGAAGGTTTGAAAGTTTGTCCCCGGGAAGGGTCGCTACGCCTCTGGGGGGGGGGGGTGACACCATTAAGTGCCGCACCGGGTGACACCCAACCTCGCTACGCCACAGATATATATATATTTATATATATATATATATATATATATATATATATATATATATATATATATATATATATATTCTAGGTCAGCCACTGCCTCAGAGGCTCTTTAAGAGCAATCAGTAGCCAAGCAGGCAGCCTGTATGCTGGGCCTAAGCGCCACACCTGTTTCTGGCCCAAATAAGTTTCTTGTTTCTGGCAGCGTTTTACTTCTCGCTTTGTAAATCGTGTCGTTAAGTATCGTTGTGGTGTGTAGCTTAGTGACACACGTTCACACACAGACGAACCAACAAAAAAAACTACCAGTCTGTCACTACCTTACACACTAATACGTCACAGCCAGTGCGTATTCGTTATCTATTTATAGACAATCTTCTACCACACCTCGCCTGAACAACGCACATTGCTTCCTTAAACACATACATATTGTGTAGTACCGCATTAGTAAAAGTAAAAAGAAAAAACATTACTGTAAAAATGGATTTGAGCTTTAAACTATATATTGAAACATTTTAGTCAAAATTTTCTATTTTATTCTTCGATATGGTTGTGAAAACGATTGTATTAATTGCTTATGGAATAGCATACTTTATTCCACCCACAGGACCATTGAGCAGTGTTCGTCAAAAAGGTTACGTCACAAACCTATCCAGCTTGGATCTAGACAAGTTATCCACAGAGGAAATTCTAATGACAATCCACAGTTATCCAGATAACACGGATGTAGGTTTTAAATTGTGTTGCAATGTTTGTTGAGTTGAAGTTTTTTTTGTTTTTTTTTGCTGCTTATGTTTGTGAGTTATATAGTTTGATGCTTTGTTTGCGAGTTATATCGTTTGATGCTTTGTTTGTGAGTTATATCGCTTGATGCTTTGATTGTGAGTTATGTAGTTTGATGATTTGTTTGTTAGTTATATAGTTTGATCCTTTGTGAGTTATATCCTATGTTGTTTTTTTGTGAGTTATATTTATATATATAGGCCTATATATATATATATATATATATATATATATATATATATATGTATATATGTATATATATATATATATATTTATATTATATATATATGTAAATATATATATATATATACATATGTATGTATATATATATATATATATATATATATATATATATATATATATATATATATATATATATATATATATATATATATATATATGTATATATATATATATATATATATATATATGTATATATGTATATATATATATATATATATATATATATATATATATATATATTTATATTATATATATATGTAAATATATATATATATACATATGTATGTATATATATATATATATATATATATATATATATATATATATATATATATATATATATATGTATATAATATATATATATATATATTATTGTTTGTTGCTTTGCTTGAATTTCTAACACACTTATCTCTCCTAGTGCAAATAGAGTTTTCCTTGTAAAATGTTTAAAACTCCCTATAATATAGTGAACATAAGTAAACAATAGTGTGATCAAGGAATATGGTTTAAAATAAGTCAGAGAAAGAGAAACAAATTTAAATTAGTGTAGGGAAGTTAACGAGCTTAGATTAGTCTAATAAAAAAATATGATTAAATCAATCCGATAGACGTCAACATTCTGTGGAGCTAGATTTCAACCAGTTAATACAAGCCATCAAATATCTTCGGCTGGAACTCTCTTTGATTTCAGTTTTTGTAAATAAGAAAGACTCGTTTGCTCTTCCAGCACTAATGAGTTCCCAGCATTTATGCATTTTGTCAAAAATAGTTGCTTTACACTTGCTTGTGGGAAATTAGTTTATACATACGCCATCTAGAGATCACTACACTCTATATGTGTTGTTGTACTATCTTCAAGCACTACAAAATCTAAAAACCGTCGTGGAGATTTTATTTGGCTGACTAAGCTTTAAGTCAATACTAATAAGTTGTGTTTTTACTATTCGTCCACGTTGTTAATTTTTAAAACATCGCTTCTGTAATTGTTTTTCAGAGCCAGAAATTGTCTTTAAAATGTCGAAAAAGACATCAAATTTTTCAACTTTAGGGTTAAAAGTTAAAAATTGTATGACTCTTAGGTGTATTTTCTTTTCTTTTTTTTTTTTTTTTTGCTTCTCCTGTTTTTTTTTCCCTCACACATTTTGCATTAATTGATAAAGTAAAACAGAATTATTTCACAACCGTTTGCAGACTTTATGCCGAAGGAAATTCCGCATGGGCAACATAGGGGACGGGGGGTGGGAGATCTGCGACGACCCAGACATCCGTCCCCGGGCCCCCTGCATCATCTACTCACTCGGCATCAACTTCGACTTCTCTTTTGACGACGACGCCGCCAGGCTTTACGGGTGTCACGTGTACTCATTCGACCCCAGCATGGAGAAAGAAAAAGATCAATACAACAGGTACGACCTGACCTTCTTCGTTCTTAATTTTTGTTTAGTGTTGGAAGGGATCGAGCCTTATCTGCCAGAGGGTCTGAACTCGAGACATTTTCGAATGTATCAACCATGAGCTTTTGCCGACTCGACCACGCCTCCATCACAACTTAGGATACGTGTCAACTGGTTATGCGCCATTGAGGCCATTGACTCCGGGACTTAACCTCTTTCGGTATTTTAAAGTGCATCTTAAGAACTAAATTTTGTTCCGATTTTACACAATATCATTTATCTTTCAATGATGAATTGTCCTTGTATAAAATTTATACTTCGTTGTTAAGCACCGTTAAATATGTATTAAATGCAAGGTATGAGCTTGTATAATTTTATTTAAGAGTTAAATGGCATTTAAAATGTGTTCGTTGCAAGATTTTAAAAACGTTCACCCATATAGTTTGTCTAAAGCTCAAAAGATAATATATAAACGAAAGAAAACCTTGTACGGATTTACACATTAAAATTTGTTGTCTGGAAGCAGTGCTAATTCAAAAACTAAAACCAAGGAAAGCTACCCTGTGTGTTCAATCTGTATTTTAGAGACAATTTCAAGAGCTTAGTGATAAAAACCTTTTGCTTCAAAATTTACTTGAACATATCGAAACTATCTATATATATAATTCTCTTCTGGGAGCCGTTAGAAAACAAGCTGCAAGCGCGCGCCTTGCAGTCCCCTCTTTTCCTGTCTATCGCTACCACCCCCCCCCCCCCCACCCCCACCCCCACGGTCAGGTGAGTTGTAGTTCACGCTTAATGTATAGTTTGGTGACGGCTATTAGGGGCAGATAATTCGATTTGAAACTATTTTAAAATTAGAGGAGGTAACTAAGAGGAGGCTGCTTTCACGGGGGGGGGGGGTGTTTGGTGTTTTAAAGCAAATATTTTCAGTGGCAGCATTGGTACTGTCGAATTCACAAATTATGAATTACTGAAAAGTAGGAAAAACAACTAAATAGCGGCGTATGACACACCGCGGGTCGGCTCGTTCTCACTATTAGCACTATTGTTAACCATAGGCGTAGCTAGGTTGGGTGCCACTCGTTGCGGCACTCGCAGTATCACCCCCCCCCCCCCATACCAAAAAAAGTATATCAGTTGTTGAAAATATTCAACTAATCATTTTTTTCTTCTGTAAATTTTACAGTTGGTGTCACCCCCTCCCCACGTAATAGCTTTACATTGTGTACGATTAATAAAATAATAAAGATGTGTATCTATAGTCAGCTATTAATACAACTGAAAGTAGTATTGTTTTCTTTGTAGTTAGCAGGTTTACGTCATGATGCATGATGTCATTCCCCCCCCCCCCTATCTCGGAATCTTCACTTTGCACTTAACAGACTTTTTAATCTAAGTAATCATTAATTGAACTGGCAAAAGCGTTTTTTCATCTATGTAATTTTTTTTTTAAATCTTGGTATCACCCCTCAAATGGGGCACACCCCGACCCCGCCTCGCGCCGCCTCTGTATCTAACCTCTATAATATTCAACATTATTCTTAACGAAACAAACAATTCACTCATCAGGTCTGATCGAGTCCATTTCTACAAGATCGGCCTGTCCGGAAGTACATACGTAAACAGTAACAAATGGCAGCTCTACACGTTAGGTGACCTACGGAAAAAACTGGGCCACCAGAACTCGACCATCGACGTCATCAAAATGGACATTGAGAGCTCCGAATGGGAGGCGCTGCCAGAGATGGCGTCTTCCGGCGAGTTAGACAAAGTTCGGCAACTCCTGCTCGAGTTTCACATTCTAGAGGAGAAGAGAGATTATTTATTGCCGAGACTGAAGGCCATGCAGGCAATCGAGAAAAGTGGGCTGAAAATATTCTACACGCATAAAAACCACGCATGCGGTACAAAAGTTTCGTGTTTTCCCCTTCGGAGATCAATGTGCTACGAGGTGCATTATCTTAGAAGATAATCCTAATGTTTAAAGGTGCGCACTTCTCTCTGTCTTACTTATAACCGAGGTCATGAGATCAGATTCTTCAGTAATATAGGTAGAACTTAAAAATGTACTTTTAATGACACAAATTTCTTATAAACGAGGTCATGAGATCAGATTCTTCAGTAATATAGGTTGAAATTAAAGATATGTACTTTTAATGAAATAAATGTCTTCGCTACGTTGAATGTATAAACTTAATGTTATTTAAATAAAGTAATAAAGTAAAAGACATATTCGAATATACAAACACACATTCAACTATACAGCCAGAAAAGTAATTTTTATTTCACAGTGACAGAAAATTGTTGTCTTCTAAGCAACCATAGCGTCCAATCAAACATGACTTGACACTACTCGAGTTGTCGGTTTAAAAGTTTACTACTTTCTAATGCATTATTACATTTTGGCTATAGCTTTAACCATACATGTAGGCCTTTTTGTTATTTTTGTTAGGTTCCAGCTTTATTATAAAATTCAAGTATCGACAGATCTTCTAATTTTAGAATATGGAGAAATTTTATTGCGGAATATTTATAGGATATTTTTGTCGGCCAAAACATAATAAAAGTAATTTAGTTAAAACCGGAATTCAGCTGAATTATTCAAGGAACTGAATGGGCATTTGATGTGTGTCATGTTGTTTGTTTTTGTACTGGTATTTCTTCTGAGATCTTATCAATGCGCGACAGGTAGTTTCTGCTCTTTAAGAGAACTTCATACTGCATTTTTTTTGGCCGTCAACAATTAATGTTGCTTTCATGATACTTTTTTTGTATAGATTCTATATTTATTTACAAATTCTGATTTTGGAATTGTTTTATACTGCTTAGTTTGCTTTACATTGATTTCATAATATTTTTTGTATGGAGTCTATATTTACTTGCAAATTTACGCTATTTAGTTTTTTTAAAAATAACTTGCTCTGTCTCATGCCTTGTAATGAGGATAAAATATAAAACACCTCGCATATTTTATGCTTCATGTGTTTAGTAATCCATTTATGGCTTTTTTTTTAATTATTTTTTTTTATACTTTTATTTGCAATTAAACAAGTACATCAACATCAAATTTTTTAACATAATTTTGAACATCAAATGAAAACGAAAGGTTTTGCAAATGTACATAATGAATATTTACATGATGTCATGTATTTGATTATAAAAAAATTGCAAAGGATGACAGTAAAAGGGGTGAAGGTCAAATGAAAGCAAAGTGAGATTGTATTTTAATATAGTTTTTTTTTTTAAATATTAAAATGCATGCACATTCGCAATACTTTTATATGTATTGAATTTTTTTATGGTACGGGTGTTTTTTAAACAACATTTTTACAAGCATTATTTCAGATATTATTTGTATAGGTTTGCATTGCTATGAATTAAACATTATATAAAAGAAGCGAATATCTATTGAACGATATTTATCTTTGTTTTTAATCATTTAATAATTTAATTTAATCATTTTCAAAATTGTATTAGATGACACGTGTATTTTCGTAATTTTTGTGTAATTCCCTTTTCGATTTGTGTCTAACGTATACAATACTATATATAAAAAGATGAAGTGAAAAAAAAATCTATATTAATGGACTGATCTTGTATGTGTTTATAAAAATACTTTTATACTTTCCTCGAATCCTACTCCTACCCTCCCTCCCCATACACTTACTCTTACACACACACACTTACACTTATACACTAACAATAACTTCCACTACTCAATGGTTAGTCATTCTTCCACTACTGTGGGCTCCACGTAGGCTACACGTCATAAATCTATTGGTTGGTTAGAAGTCTACATCTATTTCCATAATAAGTAGGTCCTTATATTTAAAAAAAAATGTTTTTTCCTAACACACACACCAACATAACCAATGCGGTGGTATCCTTAACTTTTTTCTTGTAGCATATTAAGGTAGACAACTCATTCTATACACTACAGTGCCATGATCAGATCAGTCATCGCCCTTTATAGATACATGTTCAACTTTCATAGGACGCTGGGGCGGGTAAAAGCTCAAAAATTTCTAAACCGAAAAGTCCCGAGTTCGAACCCCCGAGCAGATGAGTCTCCACCACGTGGGGACAACAACCACAGGAGAGATAACTCAGAAATCAAAAAGAAGTGGCGTCCCTTTGGAGATATGTTTACCTACTATTGTTTGGTTTCCCTTCGGCATCTCTGATGCCAACTTGCAGAGGTAACGCCCTGACCCTTGTGAACATCAGCTGTGTGGAGAGAGGTTGCTTGATACATGGGCAACATCTGACTCTTCTCAACTTCCTTCCCAGGCCTTGCACCTTGATTTCCATGTCATTATTATCCAATCGTCTTTCAGACTAGGGTGTTAATTATTGTTATTAAATGACGTGTAAATTATCTTTCAACACAATGTATCAGATAACTCCCCCCACCTCACATTTTTGAAGACATTCTAACTATTTTAAACCCTGTACTAAAGAAGTATGTGGCGACATGGTCGAATGTTAGCGCGCACGACTCCTAACCCGAAAGTTTCAAGTTCGGAACCCGTACTCATATCTGCACTACTTTAATGTTCCCATGGTAAATAGTTGTAATAAATGATGTATGCGCTTGTTTATTTTCTAAATTAATGCAATACACAATAGATTGTTTTATCTATTTTGTTTTCAAACAAAAAGTATCTAAATCAATAATTTGTCTCTAAAATCGACAAAAGTTCTCAATAATGTGAAATGAAAATATTTAAAACTTACTTTGAACAAAGCTCACGAGCTGTCTAGAAACACGACATGAATACTATACACAACTAGAAAAAAAAAATAATACGCCATAATTTAATTTTATTAGAACTTGTATAGGTATGGGGGGGGGGGGGGGGGGTACTTATTGTGAAGTTGTTTTTTTCTAGACATGTATAGTAGACAAGTCGCAATGTATAGTATACATGTCGCAAGTGTAAACGCGGCGTAAGGTGGCATTAAGTGACCTTAAGCATTCGCCTCAACTGGCGTCTTCATTATTCACGGTCCGTTTATTCCGAGGGAGATTTTGGCCCGAGCTGTTTGGACACCAATCAATAATCTCTCGCCATTGATCAGACACGATAAGGCTATATCGATTTCACTGTCGGGTCTAAAATATTATGATTCTTCATCTGGAACTTCTGAAACTTGCAAGTAAACACACAGACAAACATATATATACTAGCTGTATCCCGTGCTCCGCCACGGTAAATCATTTTTAAATATACCAACTTTGGAACAGAACAAAACTAAACACAACACAAACGAACAAACGCAAAAAAAAAAAAACAACGAAAAAACGAACACAACACTCATAACATAAACACAATTTAAATGCAATCATAAAGGCATATTGCTCACAGTCTAGCCCGTAGCGCCAAATCGCGCCCTTTCCGAGTCCCGGCGGACGCGTCTGACACAGTGAATGACTACAAAACAGAGGCGTTGCGACCCTTTCCGGCGCCCGGGGACAAACTTTCGATTTGACCCTCCCTCAAACTTACGATTTGCACCCCCTCCCCTCAAAATTTCAATTTCCACCCATCCCCTCAGACTTTCGATTTGCACCACTTTTGATTTGAAATTCCCCCCGCTCAAACTTTTGATTTGCACCCCCTCAAACTTTCGATTTGCACCCTACCCCCCTCCCCCTCCCTAAAACTTTCGATTTCCACCCCCCCCCCCCTAGCTACGCCTCTCTTATAAAACCCCAGCTTGTCCGCAAACCGAAAGATAGAATATAATAATAAATAATATACAATAAAAAATAGGCAATATCTATAATATCCGTGTTTACCTACCATATATCACTTTATCAATTCACGCATTTTTTTCCCAGTATTTTAATTTAAAAAATTTACAATTGAGTTTCATAACTAAAACCATTGCGCACCCAATGTCTATAATGGTGCGGAATAGTTGATTAAAAATTATAATTAGTAAACAGTACATTCAGTGAATAAAAAGAAATAAAAGATAGCCTTTTATCAATCAATGTGCTAATAATAATATTCCAACAATAATGTACTCTTACACGTCAGCATAATTTGCATTCACATTTTGCTAATTATATTATTCCAACAATTATTCCGTCTTGCAGATTTTGCATTCACATTTTTAGCGTGAGTTCAATTTATCTTTGAATTACCTCCATTGGCAAAATTACTAAGCAGTTTAATTAGATTTTTCTACCCTACTGTTATTATGTTAATAAAATGTATCCACTTTTTCTGGGAATATTAAAGAAAACTATATTTGACATTGATCCTTTTAATATGTTTTAGCAATGTGCGTGTATTTAATATTCTCTTTACGTTATGCAAAATTGTACAAACAGTGGAAATTATAAAATAGCTCTATGCCGCTATATAAACAAACCCTACTCTAATACTTATAATAAGACACTGCGGTGCACTGAAAAGCACAGCATGGTGCGTAGTTTACTTTTATAGTCCCAAAATCTATAGCGATGACGGAAGGAAGGAAGGACTGACACACTACCAGCAGCGTTATATTATATATATATATATATATATATATATATATATATATATATATATATATATATATATATATATATACTAGCCGTCCCGGCCAGGCCCTGCTCTGGCTTCTGTGAAAAACCTTTCCGTTAAAGACCATTACCTGTGTGTTTAGTAATCATCATAAACCCGGCATTGCCCACCCAAACCACAACCAACCAAAACAACAAAACGCAAACATAACGCTAACACAATTAGAAATACAAACGAAAACAAAAACCTAACAACAAACCCAACCACAACCACAAACACCAATACAAACACAAAGAAAAAACAAACGAAAACAAAAACCTAACAACAAACCCAACCACAAACACCAATACCAAAAAAAAAAACAACGAAAAAGCAAACGAAAACAAACCAAATCCAAACGCAAAACCAACCAAAAACACAAATACAAACCCAAACAAAAAAAAACAAAAACGAAAAAAGAAAGAACAAAAACGAACCAAATCAAAACGCAACCACTAACGCAAACCCACCTAAACACAAAGAAAACACTAACGCGAACATAAACGCCCGGGGCAGAATCGCCTGTTTTAGCTTAATAAACGACTATAGTACCCCAACTTATTCATAGTT